CAACAAACTACAAATCCCCAAAGTATGCAAGCTAGAGCCATGACATTTAACCATCATTGTTACCTGTTGTGCCTGTGCAATGTGATGCACTTATTATAGATGTGGGAATTGTAGAGCATCCTATACTTAATCCTTCCTAAAATTATGGGACTGCTGTGCATAAGAATTTTGACCATGAGAGCTGCTATAATTTGGTCCTGTTGTCTGTAATAGTTCAGTGAATGGTTTGCCACTTTATAATCTTTTAAATGCTAATCTTGAACGAAAGGATGACTTGAATGATGTTGGAGGTGTCATTTGATTATCTTCTCTCTGTTGGTGTTTCAGAATGTACAGCTGCCTCCACAGATTCTGGGCCCTGTCATTTTGGGTACATAGCACTTTCCCCTGCTGCCAGTATACCTTCCAATTGGTTATCAAAGTTGGCTGCCTACCATGTCAACATGCATTGGCCCTTATGCAAGTTTTTTTTTTTTTTGTATGGGCTGGGTCCTTTGCACATTACATAACTTCCTATTGAATTCTGAGATGTGCTGTGAATTTAGAATTCTCTGTCAGAGAGCTCTAGTGTTTCATCAACCTACAAATTCTGGGATTTCACAGCATGCTGTTGTACACCAATTCTTGGTTGAAAGTGCCATGGTTTGTTATTGATTTGGATCTTGATTCAGAAGAAACTGGCTCATTGCTTCCACTTTCATGCTGCTAAAGCCCCCCCCCCCTCCCCCACAATCCCAGCATCACCTCAATATGCTTTCAGGGCTTTGCTTTCAGACCAAGCCTTGTGTCTCCAGTTTTATCCATATTGCTGCAGCTGTTGTAGTTTCAACAATGTGGGATAGAATGTGTATATGTTCATTTTTCCAAAACGCACACTTTAGTAGCCGAAAGGATACCACCATTAACTATCTGCATGATCACAGAAGAAAAGCAAGGCATCAAATGGAATTCCAACTCTTTCAACACCCTACAGTGCTAAAGCTAAAGCCTATCCAGACATAACAATAATCCTATCTAGCATATGTCATGTTTAGAAAGCAGGGATGAGCAAGGCACAACAGGCAGCCAACATTTTATCCTCTATATTGAGTAGCGTGCAAAATCGTGCTCAAAATTCTTAACCATACATGGAGAGAGAAATCCCAGAGGTCCAAGCAGGGTTCAGGAAAGGAAGAGGCACTAGGGACCACATTGCAAATATACGATGTCTAATGGAGCGTAGCAGGAAGTTCCAAAAGGAAATCAGCATGTGCTTTATAGGCTACAGCAAAGCCTTTGATTGCATAGATCATGAAAGGCTATGGAATGCCCTTAAAGACATGTGAGTGCCAACACATCTGATAGTTCTAATGAGGAATCTGTACTCAGGACAAGAGGCTACTATCAGAACAGAACATGGAGAAACAGAATGGTTCTCAATCAGCAAAGGAGTCAGATGAGGCTGCATCCTATCACCCTGCCTATTTAAATTATATGCAGTACATATTTCAAGGAAAGCAGGCTTGGATATGGAAGAGAGAGGAGTGAAAATAGGAGGAAGAAATATCAACAATCTGAGATATGCTGACACCATAATACTAGCAAAGAACCTCACAAACCTGGAACTACTAAGGAAGATCAAAGAGGAAAGTGCAAAGGCAGGCTTAATGTTGAACATAAAGAAAACAAAAATAAAGACCACAGAGAACTTACACACATTCAAACGAGGCAATGAGGAAATAGAAATAGTAAAAGGGTTCTCATATCTGGGATCAAACATTGATTGGAATGCAGCCAGGAAATCAGAAGAAGATTAAGAATGGGGAGAGTGGCTATGAAAGAACTAGAAAAGATCCTAAAAAGCAAAGGCATACAACTCAGCACAAAAGTCAGAATCATACAAGCCATTGTATTCCCTATGATCATGTATGGATGTGAGAGCTGCTGGACAGTCAATAAAGAAGATAGGAGGAAAATCAACTCATTTTTGATGTGGTGCTGAAGAAGAGTGCTGAGGATCCCATGGGCAGCCAAAAGGGCAAACAAAGAGCAGATCAAGCCAGAAATATCCCTAGAAGCCAAGATGACAAGACCTACACTGTCATACTTTGGACACATCATGAGAAGGCATGAATCATTGGAAGAGACAATAATGTTAGGAAAGGTGGAGGGAAGTAGAAAGAGAGGAAGGCACATGCTAGATGGATGGACTTTATGAAAGAGACCACAAATATGAGTTTGCAGGAGCTGGGCAGACAGTAGAGGACAGGGGGGCCTGGAGATGTCTCATCCACAGGGTCACCATGGGTCGAGATTGACGTGAAGGCAGTTAACAACAAATTGAGTAGCATACACCTCTGAAGTTGTTGAATTCAAAGATATAGCCGTGTTTGTCTGTAAAATCAGTATATAAAGAAATCTTGTAGCTCTTTGACCCTAACTGAAAGAAAGAAGTTGGCAGCATGAGCTTTCATGGACTTCAGTCTACTTGCTCAGAGGCATTCTGAAAACCAGGGGGTTTTCTTGTTCAAAGGAGGTTTGCCTTTGCTGTCCTCTGAGGCTGAGATTGTGTGACTTGTCCAAGATCACCTAGTGGGCTTCTTTGGCCAAGCAAGGATTCGAACTCTGTTCTCCAGAGTTGTAGTCCAACACTGAAACCACTACACCACCTGACACACTGAGATGGGCCATTCCTTAGGGTGGAAAGACTCTGAGCAGCTTTAAAGCTGAATATGCTTCCTTGAATATTTTTGAAGTCCACAATTCAAACAGGATTAGCCGGAGCACTAAGCCCTGTCCTGTTTCCAGCTGAGGAAGGATGGAACTGGGAGAAGTGCGACTGGCTCTCCCCTTTTGGGCTGGTGGATATTGATTTCACAGGTAATTTGCCCTCCCTGTGAGGAGCGAGGGATGACCCAGACCCAACTTGAAGGAAGCCATTCCCACACTGTTGGGAAACTCAAACTAAAAATATCTTTTGTGTCCAAGAGAGGTGGGCAAAGTGCAGGTTGCATGAGGCCTATGCAGGGCTGCTTTTGTGGCCCACCAAATTTCTTTGTCCCCCAAATGCACTCTAGCGGGTGTGGGGACATTTTGCCACATTTTTAGAGGCCTGGCCTATTTTAAACTCACTGGTTGACCTTGATCAAGTCACACATTCTCAGCCTCAGAGGAAGGCAAAGGCAAATGTCCAAAGACAAACGTCCATTAGGCAGATCTGGACTCCTCTGAAGAAACGTGCCAAGAAAATCCAATGATTGGTTAATTCTTTTTATCACAAGCTAGACTTTGCATAGCATCTTAGAGACACCATAAGTTAAAAATGACTTGAAGGCATAATTTAGTTGTATTATTTTTATTTAAAATGGGAAGTAAACCTGAAGTAACTTCCCAACACCTCCTGTTTTCAAAAAAAGGCCTCTCCTGGGCCTAAACCTATGCCCTCACTGCCTGTGGGATGCTGGGAATCATTTGGGAGCTCTGTGTGTGTGTATGTGTTTTGGAGGGACACATCTCACCCAGGGTTCCTATAGAGCCATTGAGGCCCCCTAGTCCCCCATGGTTGTCCACCTTTATTTTAGATAAAATTATATGCTGACAAAGCTGTTCACTGAGCTTGAGACTACCACTAAAATCAAATGTATCATCCCATTTAGGCATGTGAGAACAGGAAGATGCAAATTTGTTCTCTGTTACGGGTGTGTCCTTTGTCTTGTTGAATTAATCTACCCAAGGTTAGACAGGCTGACAAAACTGACACTGAAATGTTTAGAGGGAATTTCCTTTTTTTTACCATTTATTTACCCCAAGCACTTATAAGTAGTTGTTTAGGACTAAGGCCTCAGAAGGCTGTGTATGCTAAACAAATGAAACAATGGTCCATTAGGCAGATCAGGTTTGGAACCTGTTTTCTGGAAGGACAAACATGAAATCACAGTTATCTAGGTGATGAATATTTAAATATTGTGGTTTCTCTCCTTGGAATGAAACACCTTGGTGCCATTGGACAAGTACTAAGGTTTGCTTACTGTAAAAAAATAATAATAATAATTAAGATGCCCTTTTCAGAGAGCAAAAGGTCCTATTGTGCTAGATTCTGTGATGCTACAGACTACTGGCAGCTGGTGGATCAGATCCCATGTCAGTGGGCAGTATTCCAGGTTTTTGCTTGCTATAAAGGAGCTATCCAAGGTGCTTAACTGTGTTAGGAATAGGACTCAGCAACTTGGGTTAAAATCTGGAATGGATTCATCAGCTCATACTAAGTCAGGGTCATGCAAGGGATGTAGTGTCAAGCTAGGACTGGAATAACCAAGTTTGAATTTCTACGCACATAACCAGTCTAGTTTCTGTTTGTGGCTCTTGCTAGGCTTCTTCACAGGGTGGTTTTTGGGAAGATGAAACAGGTAGGAACAAGATCTATGTATGCTGTCCTGAGCTTTCTCAAGGGGAGTCTGGGTATAGCGTATGGAAGCTAACAGTGCTTAGCATATCTTTACCACTGCAGTGATTGGGGAAAGCAGTACTTTAAAAAACAACAACACAGCAACAGCTTCATTTCCATCAGCAAAACAGGTTGGAGGCTGAGAAGTAGCTTCACGGTGGATTTGTGGTCATATAAGGAATACAAGCAGTGTCCCTCCAATCTTCAGGGGCCATCTTTATTCCAGTTCTACCGATACTGTTATAGGTCTCTGGCCTCCAGCTTGCTTTGTCCTCTCTCTACTTCATAGTCCTTTCTCCTTGCATTTAGTAGGCTTGACTGTTTTATTCATGATGTGTCAAATCAACCTAATAAAAGAAGAACCAGTGCTTGCTTCCACTGATGAATGTATAAAGACATGGGAAGGCTTCACTGGTTTAGTTAATGCCCAGTCTGTTGGTGCAGTGGAGTTCATATCTTGGGTAAGGTTGTCTTCCATCATATCATGAAATAGACTGACTTTATAACTACAGAACTGTGGACTTTAATTCCAGGCAATCTCTTGCACTGTGCCAGTTCTGTGATCTGTGCATGGACAGTACACTTTGTCAGAGTTGAACCATACACTGCTTTTGCTACTTAGATTTGTATAAGTCTTAATTGCTTAATCACAAGGTAGACTTTGTGCTTGAATGTGGAGTGAACCAGACTAACAAGAGACTTTGTTCCACTATGCTACCCCAATATGTGCTGCTCTTGTTAGATCCTCTGATAAGATAGGATGGAGTGGTAACAGTGCATATTACCTCTCCACTTCCTGGAATGCAGAGTTTTCATCTTGAAACCTTCACTCAAAGTTTCTAAAGTCTTTGCATTCACAGAAAAATTAAAATAAAGATGTGAAGGCAGTAGTCCAGAGTAAATTGGTTGAGATTTAATTCTCATTGAAATGGTAACAACAAGCTATTAATATAGCTTCATTAGCCACTTTCTAACTGGGTATGTTTGATCCACCAGTATTAGTGGACCAGTGTGGCACCTTCCCCCCCCCCCAGTTATTGTTGGGTTGCCAGGAACAAATACCCCTACCTGCATTGCTTCATATATGATAGAGTTCAGGATCATGTAGCCATCATGATTTTTTCTGCTCCAACCAATCTCCACACCGATAAAGCACCTTGTGTGATCTGCAAAACCCTATAGCAGAGCAGAGTACATGTATTTTCTGCTTATGAATTTTCTACAGCTGTTGAGTGACCAACACCATGTACGTGGATATATGTATGTGTGCATATTGGGAAGCCCCCCCCCCCCCAATGTGGTTGTGCGGCTGACAAGAATCTGATACAGTGAGCACGTGTACCAATGTGACTTTGGACGAGGAAAATGTGTGGCACAGAAACAAATTGCATTTGGATTATACTGGGAGTGTGTGCTGCTAACAGGGGTCAAACCAGGACAGGATACTGTGTATTGGAGCTGGGTAATAATCCACATGTGGATTCAGTCTCAGTTCCTTCTGAAATTGGGGGTTAGTTTACATAGCTTGACCTGCTGATTTAATTGAAACCAATTCAATCAGTTTAGTCTCAATCCACCTGTTCTGAATTTGGTGGGCTCACACCCCTAACTTCAAGCTTGTGTACCATTCTTTACTTACAATCACTGTCTGTGCAAAAACATTGACACATCTAAGCTCCAATGTTGGGATAAAAAAAACCTGGGAAAATGAAAATTCTAGTAAATTTGCTCAGTAAACTGAGCATTAAATGATTTGTTTGAGTGACAGGATCCATACTAGAAATAGACAATGCAAACATACTGAAACTGCACCAATACATCAAGCGATCAAAGCTAATGAGATTTACATTTGGGAGAAAGATGGAATGTTGATTAATTAATTTCTTTATATTTCTTCTCCTAGTACTTCAAGATGTCTCTCAAGGAGAAGCTGATCACAAATGTTCACAAAGAAGAGCATCCGCATGCCCACAACAAGATTACTGTAGTTGGGGTTGGTGCAGTTGGCATGGCTTGTGCCATAAGCATTTTAATGAAGGTAGGTAGATTTTTGCATTATGTATATCAAGCCCAATGGCCACACTTCAGGTTGGTGCCTGTTGTGATCCCTTTCAAAACTGTCAGTGGATGAGTTTTGGTGATATGGTCTTTAAAAAAATGGAACACAGGAACTGTTCCCAACCTGGCACATTATTTGCCATCTCTGCTTGCTTGTTGTTAGCAAATTTATCAGGCTGCATCTGTGGCAGCTTATGATACGGTCTTATCTTGTCTAACGCTCATCTGGTTGAGGAAATCTTGCCCTAGTAGAATACATCTTAGGAGGAGAAAGAGGCGAGACGAGGAGGAGGAGGAGGAAGAAGAGGGAGGAGGAGGAAGAGGTGGGAGGAGAGGAGGAAGAGGAAGCAGTGGAGGAGAAGGAGGAGGAAGAGGCTGGAGGAAGAGGAAGTGGCAGTGGCAGAGGAGGCAGCTGCCCACCCACCTACCACTGGGGAGAACTGGGAGGGAGGAAGGAAGGAAGGACAAGTCCCATTGAAGACAATGCAGACTTGAGCATTCGTGGATTTTGGTATCCACGGGGGGACGGGACAATTCCTCCACGGATACTGAGGTCCAACTGTATAGGTAAATACATGTGTGGTTATAAGTTCTGAACTACAATACTATTCCAAATGCAATTGTGGGTCACTAAAATTGACCCTGTTGGGAGTCGCAACTTCCTCAGCATTGATGCTTGTACTGCAATAACTGGTAAGAGAGGTCTGATCCACCACACCAAAGGGAGTCTGCCAGCCATGTATGGTAACTTATCAGTAAGCCTCCTAGTACCAACAGCCTCTGGTCTAAGTGTGTGAGTGAGGGATCATGTCACCACTCAATGAGATAAACTTCCCACTGCAGTAAGACTGTGGGGCACTAATGCCTTCTAGAATTGCTGCCTGTCTAGAAATGCAAAAACAAAAAATTTGTCAAGCCCATTGGCTGCAAAAAGGATGGTTCCCTGTATTTGGTTGGGGGGCTCATGGGCTGTACAATTTTGCTACAGGCACAGGATTCAGGTAAACAGACACTGGTGCAGTTGACATTCTCTTTTTACTCTGGACTCTTGTAGGACTTGGCTGATGAACTTGCCCTTGTTGATGTTGTGGAAGATAAGCTGAAGGGAGAGATGTTGGACCTCCAACATGGCAGCCTCTTTCTCAGGACACCAAAGATTGTCTCTGGCAAAGG